AAGAAAAACAACTAGGTACAAAGAAAAAGACTAACAACTACAACCCCAATCACAGCTATATCACTAGAGCTTACTAATAAAACACAACACTATACAGAATAACAACAAATAATTATTATAACTCAATAATATTAACTAATTCTACTAAAACTATTAATCTAAATGATTACTAGAACACAGTAGCGCCTACTTTCTAAATTATTATACTTACTAACACGCTTACTATTCCTACTTCAAGCTAACTACACTATTTTCATTATTTAATAGTATATAAACCTCCTTTATTCCAGCTTAACCCTAATAAATTTCCTTTCTTTTATATTATAAGAACTCTTTTTATTTAATTCATATTTAATTATAGTAATATTTTACTATTATATATATATAAAACTAAAACTTATATTAAACTATAAACACTTTATAATAAAATAACTAAATAACTATAATAACCCTATAACCTTAAATTACTATAGCTAATAATTTTATATAGTTAGCTAATACTATAAGTTACTATAACAACTTATATAAAAGTCTTTCTACTAGTCTAGCTCCTTAACAAATAAACACTATAATAAACAATAACTTTATAAACGACTTAATACTATAACAAACTACTACCACGTTAAACAACATAGGTAACAACTTAATCCCTTATTAAGTTATTATAACCTTAAGTAATAAGGCAATATAACCTAATAATAGTAACTACAATATTTTTAAACCTAAGCTATACCTACTAATAGAGCTATAAACCTATATACTAGTCTTAAGTATACTTAACTATAAGATAATCTAAGTATATAAAAGATGAACTTTTGTCTTTAACTATTACTAATAATATAATAAAGACGCTTTTTTTTATAGGAACAAATAAACTCTTTTGCTTCTAGAAGAAGTTACCCTGGACTAAAGCATACTAATAAAAAATAACTAGGATAATATAAACAAATAAATCCTAATATAACACCCGTGTAGGCACTACAATAATCCTACTACCTATATAACTACTAACTACTATTCTCTTTAAAACTACTAAGCTAAAAAAAAAATTAATATAATAAAAGTAATAAAACTTTTAAAAAAATAGTAAAAAAGTAATTAATTAGTTATATTTTTTAATAATAATAATAAAAATAATAGTAATAATAATAAACTAGATATAATAATTACTAATAATACTAAGACCTTAAAGAGATAAACAAAATCATAAAAAAAGATAACTAAACATAAAAATTCAATAGCCTCTTAAGATTAGGTGACTTTAAAGAAACAGATAATAACTAAGAAGACGTCTACTATAACCTTTGCTAATAAGGATTTCTTCTATAAGATAGCTAAATCACTATAGAAATATCTACAGCTAATAATGTATAACTTAATACCTACTTAGAAGAAAGCCCTTAACCTTATAGTTAAAATCTTTAACAATAATAAGATAAATAAAGCTATTCTTAACTATAATAAATAGTTTATCTTAAAAATACTTTATAAAAAAGCAACTTTATCCTAAAAAAAGGGTAATATATCTTCTTATACTATATACTATATAGTTAAAAAATCTAAGGATAATAAGATACTTTTATACTATAAAATCATAGTAACTTTACTTTATAATTTATAACTATTAACTAGTTAAATAAAGAAAATTATTCTATATATAATATTACTTTTATATTTAATAAGCTATAAATTAACTAAGAATAGCCTAAAGTTAAACTAACTTTTATAATAACTTTAAAAAATAAATATTATTTCTAGAATAATTATTAATAATAAGAATATAAAGAATAATAATACTTAATTAATAGCTATAGGTCTTATTAATACTAAATATAACGTTATAAAATAACTAACTAAAAACAAAACTATTTAAAACATAGAAGTTAATAAGAAGCTATAGGTTAAAGAGAAATACTATAACTTTATTAATTTTATTAGTAAGATTATAATTAATATAACTATAGATAATAAATATTAACTTTAAGAAGTAATATAAAAGCTAAAGAACAAGGGATAGCTTAATCTAGTAAGGTATACTAATAAGATCTATAACTCTATAATTAATTACAATAAACATAATATTATCTAAAATAATATACTTTATAAGATAATATTATAACTAATAAGTAATAGTAATTCCTTTATCCCTAAACATTATATGATTACTTATAAATACAGTAAAGAAATAAGAGCTTATAACTAATAATCATTAATGTTAATAATGGACGATTAATGATTAACGATTAACGATTAAGGATAAACGATAGACGATAAGCAATAGACCTTTACAACATAAATCTTTAGATTTGCTCTTAGCTTATCTTTAATTTACTATGACTTACAATAAATATATCTAGAAATATAACTTATGATAACAAGAATTAGAAAAACTGGCCAGATAAGTAGTAAGGGCACTACAATTTTTGACGGGGGCAGACTGTTATATAAGCTGGACATGGGCTTACTATTTAGACAGACCCCCAGGGTTAGATAGAGCAATACAACTTACTTCATACACACCAGGGACACCCTAACAGGAATCCCGCCACGGCTTGTGCTCGATCGTCGGAAAACATTGACCAATGGATGGACCGCGGACAGGAAGAAGGCTCGTGACACGTGCCACGAGCCTTCGGTCCCTGCGAGAGGGAATTGGCCGTGTTCCTGGTTTGGGCCAGATGGAGAGTCAGCCGGGTGAGACAAGTCGGCGGCAAACCAGAGCCTGTCTCTCCCGAAGCTGGAATCCGACAGCTGGCTCGAACGTCACAAGTGCTGAGGAATGCGGGTGGCTTTCTGTGGCATAGCGCCAACTGGTGAAGTGTATGGCAGCGGATGATTCCACAAGGGTTGAAAACGTTCTACTCCGGGCCCTGTACCATCAAAGACGGTGCTTCATCCCAAGGCGGCGGTGCTCCCCTTCTGAATAAGAGACGATGACGCCTTGAGGTTTGCGCTTGCCCAGGTGGGCGCTCTCGAACGACAGGTGTCTAGACTGACGGCAGGTAAAGCAACGCCGAACCGAACTGAACCAGAGACTCGCTCCATGTTGAATACCTATGTGGGACGATAACGGACAGCTCTCACGGTGATGCAGCATTCATCCGTCTCAGGGTAGCGTCAAATAGCTTAACAGGAGCAAACAGGAGGCATCTGATTGAAACCGAGAACCTGAGTATGGGTGCAAGTGCCGTTTTGTGTCAGCGTTGCCAAGGCGCTTGCCGGGTGTGAGGCATTGGAAGGGATTGACGCCCAGGCGGCAGGAATGAGATGAGACGCGTTATTATTGTTGGAGCAGAGCAAACACTGGGTCACTGGGTGCCACCACTGCCATAATGCCCATTCTTGTCATGGCCAGGTGAACGTGTCGCTTCCCACAACAACAGGGGTTAAAGATTGAAATCAACAAAAAGCCGTTCACGGAGCTACATTGGTATTTCTTAGAATATCGTAATTAAGATTATTTGAGAAGCCACGGACAGAGGCAGGTGTCTCCCAGGCGAGACATTTGACTTTCTGGGATGACACCCCCGCTAAGCACCTTTTGGGAATAGACCCAGGGTCCCACGGACGGGGAGCACCTTTGCAGACGGAGAAGGAGCCCGCCCAATGGGGGCGCGAGAGGGACGAAGTCTTGCAGCGATACGGAGCGGAACTGGAGTTTAAATCTTAAGGTGGGAAATGAGCAGGGAATGCGCAATCGAGACCGGCGGGGGCAAGGGGTCATCTGGGGAAAGCACCGATTGACGCTTTCCTTCCGTCGTCCTACCTAGGAAATTTGCAAGCAATATGAAAGGAATGAAAGATTCCATGGAAGGAGACAAGTACCGAGCAAGAGTACCTTACATACCTGAGCATAGGAATGCGCCACATGATCGGCCAGATCCACGGACAGAAGGAAGTAATAGAGGGAATTAACGAGGGCGAAAACCTACCTTCCTGGGCAGTGGCAGGCAAGGCAAGGCAAGGCAGGAGACGGGAAGCCACGATGCTCGCTTACTTGTCCGTGCACATTCCATCCTGTGCCCTTCCATGCTGCTTCTGCGTCGTCTTCCGCGCAGGGTGTGCCCTTTCTTGGCTTTGTCGCTGTCCCCTTTCTTATTTGCATTGAATCGCAAACTTCCGTCACTCGTCGTCTCATCCGATGCAGTTGGCAATTGTGTTTGGTGGAACACCAGGCAAGCGCAGCGTTTCCGTCTCTTCGATTCGCAATCCCAAACACATACGCAAATACGAACTGTGCCGTGTCGTATCGCTATCTCGTTTCTCGCCCCCTCGTCTCTTTTCCTGCAGCTTAGGCGAGGATAAGCTCATTCTCGCTTGACCGTTTGGGGGGGATCTCGTTGTCCCCATCCACTCACCCTTCATCCCGCCCATCCTCTGCTCGGACTTGGCACCAATTCGGGGGGGGGCGACCAATAAACCGCTATTGCCCAATCCCTAGCTTAGAAACCGCCAATTCCTCCAAGCACCTTCCGAGCAAGATCCTGTGCCTCGCTGCCATCGATTCCAGGCTCGGCGGGCCCCCTTTTCCGTTGTTCTGGAACAAGAGCAAACCGCCCCAGCCTAACGCCATCTGCCAAACCAGCAACCAACACGCTCCCAACCGCCAATTCGACAACTCTCAACTGAGCCGGTTCTCTCTCGACTTGCCATTCCGTCCGATTCCTCTTGTTTGACTCTTTTCCCTTTCCTAACCTCGGTTTACTACATTCTTCGCTGCTATCGGTACGTCGTCACTGCTTCGTTGGTTGTTCTCGGCACGTTTTACGGTTGCGCGTCGTCGCCTCCGAATTGTGTCTCTCCGGGTAGCCCCCGAACTTTGTCGCAAGCCACGCTAGCTGTGACAGAGACTCGACCGGCCCTCACACGATCGACCATCGGCCTCGCCCTCTTCGACAGTCAACCAGGAATAATCAACAAACGCGCGAGCTCTCACGATTTCGGTCGATATCCGGTACGCTCTCGGGAGCTCCTCCGAAGAGTAGGCCGTCGTCGTCGCCATGATCTCACTCGCTGTTCGCTCCATTCGTGGAGCCGTCGCCCGTCTCTCCTCAACCTCATACCCCTACTCCCCGCTGTCGGATGCAAACTCTCATTCCGAGCCCGCGTCGCCTGGGGGATCGAACCCCGTTCCGCATCCACAGTCCTTCCTCGCGAGACTGACGGCCATCCTCTTCTTCCTGCTACCTTCTTTCGTCCAGCGCCGACTTCGGCCCAACGACTTCAAGCACCGACGCCTATACCCAACATCCTGGCTGGACGGCCTGCGTGGTGTTGCCTCCTTGATCGTCTTCTTCTGCCACTTCACAGAAAAGCATGTTGGTTGGTATACCGCTCGAGCATATGGCATCGACGATGAAAACGACCATGTTGCTCCATCACCCCTGCAACTCCCTTTCCTGCGCGTTATCTACAGCGGCCGTCCCATGGTTCACATCTTCTTCGTCATCTCGGGATTCGTTCTTTCCCTCAAGTCGCTGAAGCAGGCAAGGAAGCAAGACTACGATGGACTGCATCGTACCCTCTCAAGCAGCATTTTCCGCCGTGGCTTTCGCTTGTTCCTCCCCACTACCGCCTCGACCTTCATGATTATGCTTATGATCCGCCTTGGATGGACCGGATCGCCGCTGCCGACACTGTGGGAGCAGCTGGTGGATTGGAAGAATGCAGTGTGGAGGATCACCTTCAGCTGGCAGTGGGACATTACCCAGATCCTTCCCTACGACATGCACCTCTGGACCATCCCCATCGAATTTTCTCACTCGCTGCTGCTGTTCGTTGTTCTGACCGGCGTAAGCCGCATGAAGACGTACTTGCGCCTCGCATCTGTTTTCGCCATCATGATTTACTGCCTGAAGTGCGGCCACTGGGCCGGCTTCGAGTTCTTGGGCGGCATGGGTCTCGCCGAGATCGGCCTCATCCAAGAAGCTCGCCGCGAGCGCGCCATGGCTGCCACCCACAACAAGGAAGCATCGGACATGGAGGCTTCAGTCGCTTCAGACTCGTCGTCGAGCACCATGGCGACACGCATCTTCAAGGCGTTCCTCGTCGGCAACCTGATCTTCGCCCTCTTTGTCGCCGGGTGGCCGAACCAAAAGGCCGACATCACCCCAGGAATGTCACCACTCTGGCACAACACCATGGAACCGTTCTTCACCATGGGTGGCGACCTTGTCTCGTTCCCCTGGTACGCCCTTGGCGCTATGCAGATTGTTGCCACGTTGCAGCAAATCAAGATGTTGCAGAACATATTCGTAACGCCCCTGGCGCAATACCTCGCCGACATCAGCTACGCCCTCTACCTCGTACACGGACCCGTCCTAGACGTCTTTTCACACCGTTGTATGCCCTACATCTGGGCTTTGGTTGGCGGCAGAGACGAGGCCGGCATGTTGGGACGACTAGTCGCATGGGCCATTGGAGTCGTGGCGCTGGGAGTCCCGGTCGTCTGGGGCAGCGACGTGTTTTGGCGGACAATTGATGTCAAGAGTGTGGAGTTGGCACGTTGGATCGAGGGTCGCTGCGCACGAGATGAGTAGACGACGGCTGTTCGACGGGTGGTTTCGTTTGTGGCGTTTTGCGTGGTGTATTGGCGTTTGGGGCATTAGATAGCGTGATAGACGTTATCTCATTCTATAGGCATGCATGTAGAGCTGTGATTGGCACCTCGCACAAAGAAATCACATTACCTCGAAGCGCTCTGTCGTCATCAAGTTGGTTGGTGACAAGAGGGATGTGCGCAAACGCTAAGTTTAAATTGTCTGAAGTAGCGTATTCGGATGGCAGGTCGTACAAGTCCAATGCAACCGCGAGAGAAAGTGGGTGAAACACCAAAAGGCTGCAACTCTGGGGACACAGGCAAGAAGGGGGAAGCCGGCTCTATAAACAACAGACCCGAGGCAGCATTATGTCCATCTCAACAAGCGGGCTTGTGGGTGACGACGATCCGCCCGTCCCGAGACGGCGGCTTCGATAGGCCGCCGCCCACTAGGCCCATCCCACCTACCCCTTGCACCCTTGCCAAGACCCAGAAAATGCGCACCCAGAGAACCGATAAGAGCACCCAGACCTGCTTCGTACGGAAGAGTCGGCTGCGATTCGACAATGAGCCGACGGGCGGTGCTTACACTACCTATGTTTGGCGGTTGGGGAGAGAGGCTTGATTAGTGGGACACCAACGAAGGAAGGGCACACGGGCCCGACGGACGCTAGAAAAGGGGGAGTGGGATGGGATGGGATGCCGTGTCACCCCTCTGGCTTTCGGGCTAAGGTGACGCGGACGCAGACGCGAGACGTCATTTGTCGACTGCCAGCAAGCCGACCTAAAACACACTTGGCCCCCGGGGAACGGCTGGGGGCCTTCCGCACAGGTGAAGGGGGAACGCGACCGAACGCTACGCGCGGGAAATGCCTTGGCCGGGAAGGCTAATGGAAGCAGGAGCATAGACAGTCGGGACCGGTAGTTAGGGCCCGGAGTGGGGGTCCGCGGGGCCTTCCGTTGCATCCCCGTCGAGGAGCTCTCCCGGCAGCTGCGCCGGAAGACCCAAGAAACCTTCGCCGTGTGAGGAAGGCTGTTGTATGTAGGTACAGGTGTTAGATGGCGTCGATCTGCGCGCCCACCAGAACCATTGGCTCGAAGTGCTCTTCCCTCCCGTCTGTGGATCAAGGCACATCTTTCCCCGGATTTTGCAGGCTTACTATCTCCAATCTCCGGACTATGGCACAGCACATGGTACAGGTTTGATGATATGCGTGCTCGTTATAAATCACTCACTCTCATGTCCGAAACTTGGAGAATAGTATCGGTGTTAAAACTGCTTCTGGAAGACAACAAGGCGATAGTTGGTCGGGTTCGAGTCCGGCACATGAAGAAATCGCCTAACACCGAAAGGACGCTCGCCTGCGAACGCGAAGCACCAGCAGGGAAACCACCCTCGGCGTCCGGCTAACAGCCGTCCCTCTCGAATCATGGGCCGACCTACTGGCGTCTGGTGCATCGCTACAGTGAGATGACTTCCCTTCCATTGGTGCGATTTCAGGCGAGGAAGGGACTTGAGCAACTGGGTTGTTGGGTTGCTTGGCGTTTTGCGCGTTTACGGTGTTATACACCCTCCCGCGATTTTCCAGTATGCGGTTGGGGTCCTGGAATCAGGAACGTGCTTAACTGCGGCTGCAGTGATGACGTCTGGGGTCGTGTGTCCGCCGTTTAACGATGGCATCAGTTCTCCACAGGACCGATAGTGTGTGTGGTGTAAGATTGGTGCAATGGCTTGCTTGCGAGCTGTTGGAAAATCTGCAGACGAACCCCTTCTGGTTTAATTAGATGAGTATAAGACAGTCGAGCATCTCTCCCAAAGTAAGACAGATGGATGTGCAGAGTAGGCAAACCCCCTCTGCAAGACTCCACGAGCCACAACCCCGCCGGCAACAACTCGCTGCAATCAATCATGGCACCCCAACTAGGCTCCGAAACAACAGGCACCGAGCTCGTCGCCAAATACGCCGACCACATCAAAGGCAAGACCATCCTCGTCACCGGCGTTTCCCCGGGCGGCCTCGGCGCGGTATTTGCGGAAAAGACCGCTGCCGGTGCGCCCGCCCTCCTCATCCTCGCCGGCCGCAACATGACCAAAGTTCAGCAGACGGCCGAAGCCATCACGGCTGCGCACCCCAAGGTCGAGGTTAAGGCGCTCGAGCTCGACCTAGGGTCGTTCAAGAGCGTGCGCAAAGCCGCGGAGACGGTCAACGGATTGGGGGACGTTCCCCGGATTGACGTCTTGGTGAACAACGCCGGGATCATGGGGACGCCGTGGGGGAAGACGGAAGATGGGTTTGAGAGCCAGTTTGGGACGAACCATCTGGGTCCGTTCTTGCTTACAAATCTCGTGATGGGGAAGGTCATGGCTGCGGAGGCGCCGAGGATCGTGACGGTTAGTAGTGACGGGCATCGGTTGGGACATATCAGGTGGACGGATTACAATTTCAACGTGAGTCCAGAGCCGGCTTCGGTCCTTTTTGTCATTGCTGACATGCAGGGACCCGCGCAGGATGGCAAGCACTACAACGAGTGGCAAGCCTACGGACAGTCCAAGACGGCCAACTGTCTCATGGCCATCTCGCTTGCGGAGAAGCTGGGCGGCAAGGGTTTGCTGAGCTTCAGCCTCCACCCGGGCGTCATCTGGACGAATCTGGCAAATCACCTAGACAACTTTGACTCGCTGCGTGAGTGAATCCCCTGCTGCGACTCAGAGGCTGCGCGTGTATCTGACAGCCGTTGAAGGCGCACAGGACATCAATATGGGAACGAAACACATGTGGAGCAACTTCAACACCAAGACAGAGGACCAAGGGGTTGCGACACACGTCTTCACAGCTTTCAATCCGGATCTCAAGGGTAGGCCGTCGAGCGAAAGGAGCTGCGGGTTCGCTCAGAGGCTAACGGACATGCAGATTACAATGGCCAATTCTTCAACGACTGCCGTCCTGCAGACCAGTACGAGGAGGAGATTTACCCGTGGGCGAACAACAAGACTGACGCCGACAGATTGTGGAAGCTGAGCGAGAAGCTTGTTGGGGAGGGATTCAGCTATTGACGTTTGGGCTTTGCACGGTCAAGAGTTCACTTCCGAGTGACTTAAACGTATAATGGTTGTTCTTTTCGCTCCTCTTAGCTCTCTCAAAGTATTGACGAAATCATCGGATCGATTACGCCGGCATAGAACTCAGCTACAAGGTGTAGTATTCTCTTAGGTCTTGGTATCACTTTGTGAATCTGCTTTTAAACCAGTTCTAGCTAGACTCCATTTCTTTTGAGTTGTCATCACGGCGTCTGGGGAATAACATCTCCTGGTCCTGGAGGAGCGATGTAGTCGTCAGGGAGGCCATCAGGGAGAGGAGCCTAGGAGCCTATGTCAGTACAACTCAATTTGGGGGAAAAAACGTATACCAAAGATCATTACCTGGATCTTCTCAGCGAACGCCTGGATCGCCTCGTAGTTCTTGCACATGTGTTTTGTGTTGAAGTCTGGGAAGGGCGCAGGAGGGTCGTTGGCCCAGACCTGGCCCAGAACGCCCGTGTCGGCGTTGCAGACCAGGACTTGGCGGATCGTATCCAGACAATGTGCTATCCAGTATCAGTCTCGGAATCCACTGTTGTCACTGTAGACGTCTTCACTCACAGACGTGCAGCCGGACGATGCGCTCTTCGTTTTTGAATGCGTGTGTGCCCAGCTTCTTGTAGTAGTCGTAGTTGTAATAGAGCGACTTCCGTACCAGATTCTATACGCATCATTAGAATTTTGCAATTGCTCAGAGTTCTAGGCATAGACTTACAAGGCAGTGTAGATGGTGCATGCCCTCGACGTTAACGAAGAAGCCAGCACCATACTTCTCTGATCTCCTCACAAAGGACATGTCGAGCCCGCTTTTCAGGCCGTCTTCGATAGAGATGACACCGGCACGATCTGCATTTTTGTCAGTCTAGGAAACTTGTCTTTTGCCTTGGCTCCCACTCACAATCTACTCCCATCGACTCCCATGCGGCATCTACCTCGGGTGAGCCCTCTTTGCGGAAGATGTCCTCTTGCAAAAAGGAGCCGTTGAAATGCTTCCATTCATATTTAACATCCACTTCCTTGAGCACAGGCGACCACTGCGTAGTGTGGGCGGCACAAGCGCTGTCGAGATTCGTCACGCCTGAGGCAAAGTGCGCGCCGACGCGGGCTGAGATGATGTTGGAGACGATCAGGACTGCCGCAGCGGCGGCATATGTCCAGACTCGTCTGCGAAGTTTGCTATGCTCCCTCGCATCAGGAGCTGACGGGAGCGACTCGAGGTCCTCCTCGGACTCGTCGACTCGCTCGGCGAGTGGCTTTGAGTACGACTCCTCGTCTTTTGCGTGCATCATGATGTTGGTGGATGAACGTCGAGTCAGCCAGCGGAGATCAAAATAATACGGGCGACTCTAAGCATTGCCAACAGCAACTTTTCTTTTGTTTGGAAACCGATGGCGGGGGAGGCCTAGCAGAATGATCGATGATCCAAGGGAACCTCGGCCGAGGGAGTAACGGAATATCCGCCCAACGACTAATGTCTGACGTGAGGAATGCCCATTACCCAAGCCATATACAACTTAAGAACGGCCATTGTGTAGCAACAACGCCGTACGATGAGGCGCACGCATCGTGGGTGTACCGTCAGGGCGCCTTGCGCAGTTCCGCAAGCAGCTGGAATGCACAAAACCCCAATCGTGCACCCTCGCGGAACCAAACGCGTCCGGGTTGCCAAGTTGCATACCGTGATTTGCATCAGAACACGCCATGCGCGGCAGGAATGTCGCCCGACGATGGCTTGTCTGCGGCCGATCCCACCGGCGCATGCGGCTGATGTGCAAAGAAGCAGAGCTTCGGGGCTTGACGAGAGGAGCTTAAGCACGGCATCCCACATGAAGCTAAGACTGGAAAACACGGCATACCCGTCTTCGCCTAAAGAAGACACGAAGAAAATAGAGAGATCGACGTTGCTAGCGTGATGGTTTGTCTACCTTGTCTAGTCTGCGGGCACCAATCGCAAACGCTCCTAAGCGTCCTGTGAACTGAGGGAGGATCCTGACGTGATGCAAGATGGGTGGTAGATGGATGGTCTGGGGTAGCGAGATCTCGTATCTGTAGGAAGCTGACAGTTTCCGTTCTCGACATGTTAGCCGCTGACCTTATTCTGTCTCGTATTGGAAAGAAAAAGGGAGGTTCAGTTCGGTGCTAAGCAACAGTTCTCACATCGTGAAATTGTGTCATCCCTTTGTTATGACGTGGGTGAAGCTCCAAGTCATTGGCATTCAATCGCAGATTCGTCTTAATCATATTGAACAATGTACAACGGCAAATCCCATCTGAACTCACCTCATCAAGTTTCGCTTCCTTCCCAAAAAATAAATTTCATTGGGTGCGCGAGGCTTTCAGCCTCCAAGCCACCACATCAGACGTGGCATGCCCTGAGGTTTCCGACCTCTTCTGGCCTCAGCCAAGCTACACTATTCAGAACAGCCTCGGTCTCTGTGTGCCGTATCCATACCCACGGCGTCAGTCGCCAACTCAGCCATCGTTCCTGTCGGAAGGAAGTAATTTCATTGCCACTCTGGCGTCGAAAATAACTAGCCAGGTCAGCACCGCCGCCGCTGCAGCGCCAACCCACGGTGCTCGGAAGCCTCGCAGTCGGGATGCGCGGGAGACTTTGACGGGAGCCAGGCGGTCGTACCCGAGAACCTCTCGCGTGGGAAGAAGCACGGGCTTATTGCAGGCTCGAGACAGCCTGTCGGTCCGCATGAGCTAATTGAATGGGGAAGCTGAACAACCTAGGAAGCACCGGTTTCTCCTCACTACCACTGCTACTGCTAGCACCAAGATCCAACATCATCCGCTAGATCAGCAGGGATCTTGGGGACTTTAGGGTACCACTAATGCAAGCACTACATTCCGTGGCCATTTCTGCGTTAGTAGGGCTGATCTCCGTCAACGTGGATTGGCCCAGCGGTAGCTCCAGCGAGACCTCATCTTGGGGCATTCTAAACTCGATTTCGGGCTATCCCAAGTTGGGTTCGTAGTCAATGCTTCCATATCACGACATTTCTCACTGTCAGACACTCTTCTCAGACACTTCGGATTCGGCCCAGCGGCCAAGAGGCCGGTAACATTTGTCCTACCTTGTACAGCGGGTGTGTCAGTTGTTGGCATCTTGGAGCCCGGTCCGGATCGGAGTTTCCTGGGTATATCCCGAGCTCAAAGCTTGTTATGTGACCGGATAGCAAGACACTTGTTGCACCTCAAGCTTGGAAGAAAGGTCTCTTGTTTGCATCTGATGCCCCATATTCGAAGATGGCAGTGGAAGCGACTGAAGATGTTGGTCAAGCAAACAGCCCGCTGCAACCTTTCGGACCTCCCTTGCCCGCGATGACACCCACATGTCTGCGTTATCTACACCATCAAGCATGCAAGAATACGAGGTTGGTCTACCAGCCGGACGAATCAGTATCTTAAAGCTACCCGAGGTCTCCTTCCTGCGCCATGTACTCTTGCTTAATAACTCCAAGACACCGTGGAGATATTCCCCTCGATCCGCGCTCGCCCGAAGACGCATCCGGATAGGCTTGTGATGCCATCCGCTAGCCCTTCAGACTTCCCATCCCGTCATCCTGTAAGCCTCCGGTTGCAAAGCGTGCCCGCTTGCAGAGAGCGAGGCTTCATGCCTCATGAGCAAGCTCCCGTCTACGTCTCAAGGAATCCCTTGCAACCGTTCAGCTTTAGCTCTAAGGTCTTTCATCTCAGAGAACGCCATCTCAACGATCGCTAGGCCACCAGCACGATTCCACATGCGGCATCCCATCTCATCATCCGGCTCCAAGGGTCACCGGGCGATGGAATGGGGCCGCACTTCATGTCAAGAATCTGTCGGCTCTTCTTCTTCCTCTTCCTTCTCCCAGAATTTCCATAAGTAGGCCTCAGATCCGCCCTCCTTCTCGATATCAATTCTCATCATCATCATCATCATCATCATCATCATCATCATCATCATCATCATCATCATCATCATCATCATCATTCTACCACAATCTACAACAAGCACAACTTGGATATCCAGTCATCCAGTAGCTATCCACACTCATCCAAACTCATCCAAACCATACATTCTCCTACCACTCATCTCCACCAACCGCAAAAATGAAGGTCTCCGCCGTTCTCATGTTCACCGCCGCCTCGGCCGTCCTCGCTGCTCCCGTCGCAGAGGCCGCCCCTGTTGCAGAGGCTGCCCCTGACGGGTACGCCACCTACGGAGACTACAACTACAAGGAGTACGGAAGCTACGGCACCTACGACAACACTCCCGCCCCTCCGGCCCCTACACCCGCTCCCGGCTCATACAGCCCCTACGCCTCCTACGGCACGTATAGGCGCACCGTCGATTGGTTCAAGAGCCTCTTCCAGTAGAGCCTCTCGCTTGACAGCGAACGAAAAGATGTTCAGCGAACGCGATCATGAAGCGAATGTTTAACGGCCCTTGATTTCTCTCCCGCCGTCTTTCCAGACATGAGCCTGGCTTAATCAAAATGTGGATGTTGATGCCAATCCTGGGTACATCCTATGCAATGGTTTCAGTGTTGGAGAGTTGGATTGGGATGTCTAATCGTAATAGAGATTGTGTCTTTAGCAGATGCTCTCAAATAATTGTTATTTTCACTACACTACCTTCAACTTTTTCCGTGTTGCAACGTGCCTGCCAGCTGTGACAACGTCTGCAACCTCTTGCGGATACGAATGACTTGCTTTCACCAAAGTGTAGTTCTGTCGGCCGATCTAGATTAATACATTTGACAAGGATGATATTATTATCACGTGAAATCTCAACGTCTTAAAATTTATTTGAAAAGATTATGGGGGAAAATGCCAAAGACAAGAGAACCGGGAGAAATATACTAGATAGAAGAAGTAGTGTGAGAGGTGCCAGGGCTAGTTTTGCGTTTCACAAGATATATATAGTTATATTTGTGATTGCCAATAGTAAGGTGAGCGGGAACGATATTCGTAGACTACTATTGCGTATGTGGCGAACTCCAGCATATCTTGATAGCCCAATCAAGATGTTATCAAACCCCTGAAGACACTGTTTTCCAACGACAACTGCTCTTCAATATGTGACTGTCAATGTTCTCGGACAAAGTTGACAAAAGCAGGTTTGATCCCAACATCAAAATATAATCAAGAACCATCTCGGGGGGGGGGGTTGTTTTTCAAGCACTTTCTAATTTCCTGCACATGGAACCAAGCTTCATCGTCCTGAGTTCGGTTGGGATTTGGCTTGAAAAGAAGGTTCGATAGCCTTGTCATGCACACTGAGGTGACACGCTGACCAAGCAGCTCAACAGCCGTAGGGAAGCGAAGCCCTGAAGAATATAATAGACACTTCATAGATAGCTGCTTCTCTAGGTATTCTTGGAACTCCTATAATTTTGTCTCAGCTTGTTAAACTTCACCAGAGAGGAGTGTGATCAAAATTTACGAGAAGGAAGTAAATTGGTAAGGAAGTCGGTATCTTGGATCAATGCCGTCGTTCGAAGTGTTTCTGTGTAACAAAAGTTTGAAATTGAAAACACCTTCAAATAGAACGATGGCGTGAACAGAATTCGTGTAAGCAAGACTTACAGTGGCAAGGCTCCAGCACAGATGTTCTCGTGAGAGATGGATAGAATCATCCAACGAGATATGATAGTACCTAGGAGTTCAGTTGATTTCAAAGTTAGAAGAAGAGAATCCGGAAGTCTGTTTAGAACACCATAAGATAGTGGGTGGTATCTCTCTGTGTCCTTGAGGTAGAAAGTAGTTTAGCAGATATCAATCAAGAACGCAGTCATGCGCCTAGAAAGAGGCATCCTTAAACATCGGTGAGTGCTTGAGCTAATTGAGTTATCACTAAAGTGCTGATTTACAAGTTCAAGCAGGGCCACATCGACTTGATCGCCACGCTATAGGCACATTTGAGTCTTCTCTTACAACCTAAAACTATCCCTTATTTCGTGGATGACTACCTTGCTTCACACATACTTGTCAGAGCACTGACCCAGGAAGAATGAATAATCTAGAAGCCTCATCGTTTAGAGGAACTTGACCGCGAGCAGAGCCGAATCTTTGCTTGTTCAGATGGGTGGGCGAATTTGCTCATATCGCGGTAACATCCTATTCACATATCACCAGCCTCCGGGTTGAAAAAGACACCAAGCAACTCGGACCAGCTCATATTTTGCAAGTGCAGGCACGCATTTCAAGGTCAACTACAAGATGCACCTAGTTGAGACAGAGATGTCTGCATTGTTTCTTTCGACAATGCATAGATGCAGGAGCCCAAAGTTCGACGCCGAGTCTCGCCATCAAGCTAGCCACGTGTCCAGCGACCGGCAAGCAGCCGAGCAAAGTCACACCCTCGAGAACGGACACAGCAACCCACGGAAGCCCCGAACAATGCCTTCATGTTGCCAAAGCAGGTGCCGTTTAGAAACCAACCGGCTTGCTACCGTGCCCGTGGTGTCATGCAAGGGGGTGACAGAAGGCCCGCACCAGAGAATAAAAAAAAATCTAGCTTGCTAGTTTCCCGAGAGGGGTAATACGGGAATGTAGGCTCGTCTCTGGATGTTCGAGAAAATAAAGAGGCTGGGAGATCCCATCGCTGATCTTCCCCAGCCTCCTCTTTTTTTCTCTCTCTCTTTGACGTGCTATAGTACTGATAATGTATCGGCCGAGACGTCCGTCTGAAACGCGCGGACGTCCATGCAGCTCACTAGCATTCGGACGCGAGGTGCCCCACCGTCTTTCGCAGAATGCGGTGGTAGGGAAGCATCAACCACGGCGGGCAGCAATCATGATGCAAAGAGAAAGACAAAAGAAATGGCAAAAAAGCAAAGTATGGACTAGTATTGGGTTCGTGTTACCTGGCACCAACCACCGTACTTGTCCGGCGGTGGGGATGTTTCTGGTTTGCGCCAGGTGTAAAAACCCGAATTCAGGTTGCCGGTGACTGCCAACCCACCATGAGTCTTCCTTAAGCCACTGGATGATATGCTGTTGAACGCATGCCGTCGGAAAAAGACACCACGGAGCAAAATGTGCTTCCACTGTTGATTCAGATGATCTTCGATGAGCCAAACGAACGATGGAAGCTCTCAACGGATGTTCAAGGAATCTTGCGGAGGTTCAGGACGGTAACTGCGCCATCTTCAGACGTAGCGTGCAAGTCTCAAGGCCACATGTTGCTTTATTGGACCGTTTGCCTGTCCTTGCAGATGGAACGCCGGCATGCAGCAGCCGAAACGCATCTTGAGAGTTGGTCAAAAAAAGAAATCTCGACGGTGATAGGCGGTGGCAATTTGACGGCCAACCTCCTCTTGTCATCGAAGGCACACCTAGGACGTGGAGAAGTCAGAGGCTTGCTTCCAGCAGACACCAAATCTGCAGTCCGGGGAAGCGCTCTAAGGCCTGTCCATTGTGCCTGCAGTCTACAAAGGGGGTTGGTGATTGTGAGTTGGGATTGACGACGTGGCGTACTGAGCATCTCTCCCTCTGGTGCATGCATGAACGACATTAGCGAGAGTATAGCCGCCAAACTATCCAATGGTATAACCTTAGTCTGCGACAGAACCTGTAGATAATCACGCTCTATAAGCATCGTGGTCTCATGCGTGTGATTCCGGCCAACGCTGGTGGATGTTTCGCATCAGGACATGCAAGGCAGATAGGGGGGGGGGGGGGGGGGGGGTTGGCCGGACCCAAGTCAACGGGCCTTGCATGCCAGCCGCGATGCTGGACAATGAAGAGGAAGAGTCAAGCAAGAGGGTTGTCAGTTCGGGGGGGGGTATTCGCAGTGCCAAGGGGGGCTTCCGAAAAGTGGATCAAAGCTCGGAGGGGGGTCTGAAAGTGGGAAATCAGAGTTGTGCAAGATTAGTCATGTGCGAATACTCGAGCGCAGGCACAGTGAAGTTTTTTTCCTCGAAAAAGGCACGTGACTTTGTTGTTGAGATCCACAATTGGCTTAGCGCCAGCGTACGCTCAGCATATCCTCAGCTGCTGCTCAGCAAAAGTTTTTCCTCCTCTTCTTTTTTCTTCAAGCCATCCCACAATCGCCAACGAGCACCACCACGGTATTGTCTCGATCAATTCTCACCACATCCTCTGCATATGCTGACACTATTCTAGATGACTTCCCCCTACGCCAACCCCGGCATTTCCAATGCCGCCAACCCTAGCCGCTTCGGCTACCACCATGGTGAGCATATGCAGGGTGTGGGTTGAGCTCCGTTTGACCATATGCTGATCACATGCAGGCCCCATCCCCAACCCCAACGACGGATGGGTCCCCGATGGTATGAACCCTGCTTGTGCATCGCATATGCTGAACACTAACTCAATTGATGCAGAGGTCCGCGAGGCCCATGACGCCGGTCGCGCCTGTAAGTATCCAGCTTCACCCAAATGCAGGCTGTGCATATGCTGACACCATTCTGACCAGACACCGTCACCACCGAGATGAACGCCAGTATGTGCTGGTCCGCGGCAGAGAACAAACCCAGCATATGCTGACCATCAATTCAGACGCTCCCAATCCCGCCAGCAACCTCTCCTCCATCAACACCGGCGTGTAAGTACAGCATGGTCTCTGCCTCATCTCAGCATATGCTGACAATACGCTCAGCTGTGACATCGTCGTCGATGCGGCCACTGGCGCCATGTGCGGCACCGTCACCGCCTCCCAGCCTGCCGTAAGTTGATGCTCCGCATATGCTGGGACATTACTGACACTACACTCAGCAACGCCGCCACATCCGCACGGCTCATGCTGGCGCTGGTACGTGAACAGTTCTGGCACATCCTCAGCATATGCTCACAATATCCCAGTCACCAACCGCCCCCGCGTCAACACCACCGTTGCCGAGGAGGCTGCCGGCAAGACGTATGTGCTGAGCATATGCGCTTCTTCTTCTCTTCCACAACTGGGCATATGCTGACTTCATGCAGTGCTATCCAGAACTGGGTTCGTTCCGGTGGCTGGCGCCACGCGAACTACATTCGCGAGCCTGGGTATGTTCTTTGTCTCTTCTCAGCATATGCACAACTGACACTCTGACAGTGTTGGACCTGAGGGCGGCCTCATCCACACCTATGCCGACGGCATGGAGGAGCTTGCGTGAGTACATCCCCGGTACACTCTCAGCATATGCTCAGCTAACGTCCTATCCCAGTCGCAACGACGCCAACTTCGCGGCCACCTATGGCACGCACTTCCACCGCCCTGTGAGTGCATCTACTGAGCATATGCTCGGATCCGGAGGATGCCATTTACTTTACCATATATCTTTGCCATCTATCCCCCCATAACTAACGCAACAAGGCACCGCGACATGGTGCCAAGTCACAGAGACGTGTGGCTGTGAGGAAGGTGTTGG